ATGAACCATCATTTTGTTATCATTCCCAAAGTATATTTTCAATATTTAAATACTTCTTCCAAGATAAGCTAAAGAATCCAGACAATACTCTGAGATAAGATGAGGTATAATTGCACTGTCAGGAAGTAGAAGGACTAAAATTCTCTCGTTGTCTTCCTTGGGGCTATTAGAGTTTCCTTTGGATTTTGATACATCCCTAGGCATTGGTCAGGTGACCCTCTCAGTTCACCATGGTAACAATGTAGTCCTTTGTCCATCTGGCCATATGTTACAGAACATATGTGGACCCAGTAGAGTGGAAGAAAAGGTTGGGGGGGGGGGAATAGGGAGAAGTCTTATCTGGTCTTATCTGGGTCTCATTTAAGGTAATTAATTGGAAGATTCAAAGCCCTGAGAGGTGAAGCTAGGAGCCTTCCAGTACGCATGATAAACACTATTCTTTTGCTTTGGAAATGCCAATAGTTCATCCTTGTGGATCTCCCTTGAAGAGTTATTTCATATTGTCAGAATAAAGCAGCCCTGGCTGAGGAAGTGAATAATGCAATTCCCACATTCTACTTAAATTATTCCTCGCACATGTAAGCTCAGTTAAAATGCTCTGTGATGATCAAATACCCCCCAGTAGGAACTGAAAGGTGGGCATTTTGAGGCTCGAAAATTGTACTGTGCTGCTTGAAATGCCTGTTTAGTGTATTACCAAACCTCTCATCATAAGCAAAGATTGCCAAATTACCCAGAGCAACCCACCCTGTAGCACTTAAAAAAAAAAAACTGTTTTTAAAAGAAAAAATGTGAAGGCTCGTATGGCTTTCTTCCATTTTGGATTCTTCTCTCCTCCTGATTATCCTGCTTTGCTGAAAAAATTTCTAAATATTGCCCCTTTTAAAAGCAATCTCCTCACCATGCTGTACTGTGTACATACATGGCCTGTGTGCTATGGAGAACAGCCACCAGGTTCCTGTTTTTCCAGGGCCCCAGGGACTAACTGTTCTATAGAGTAGGAATGCGGAGGTGTCAAAGGGGAAATTCTTTGGGGAGGGGGGAGGAAGGAAAGGCAGAGATCTGTTATTTGTGGTGAACCACATCTTTAAACTTGTCAATTTTGATAGGGTCCCACTATTTTACTCCCATGTTTCCAAAGTAGAATCCTAAAAAACATATTTCCCAGCTTCCCTTGCAGCCAGATGCAGGGGTGTGATTTAGGTTCCACCAATCAGACACACTCATTCAAGACTCTGACCCGGGAGTGAGTCCCTGGTGGAAGAGGCTTCTGGGGCATCATGCCACGGAGACAGGCTGTGGCAGAGGCAGCCAAACAGAATGCCCACTCAGGCAGCTCTGCAGAGTGCCTCTAGGGGGAGCCATCTCATCAACCCCATCAGTGGCACAGCTCTGGGCAATGGACCTGTAAGTTTAGGCTTGAGTCCATTTCTTCAGTCTTCCTTTTCTAAAATCACAAACTTCTCCATTTCTACTTAAGCTACCCAAGGCGGATGCTTTTACTTGCAGCTAAAAGTTACCTCACCTAATAGGCATACACAGATACATGATGTAACTCCACTTGCAAATAAGTTCTAGAAAGTTCTGCTTGTAGGGAAGACTGTATCGCTCAAATAAAAAGAGTCTAATTGTGACCTAGGCTTGGCATGGGGAACCCTGCAAAGGTGAGGAGGTTTGGGGGAGCTGTTCCTATATCTCAGTCATAACTCATGACTTTCCCAGGGTGAAAGTGATTGTTCCCATGTTCGTTGCAGTATTTAAAAAGAGAGAGAGAGATTTTTGAGCATGGTGGCTCATACCTGTAATCCTAGCACTCTGGGAGGCTGAGGCAGGTGGATCATCTGAGCCTAAGAGTTTCAGACCAGCCTGACCAGTCTCTACTAAAAATAGAAAAACTAGCTGGGAATTATGGTGGGTGCCTATAGTCCTAGCTACTTGGGAGGCTGAGGCAAGGGGATTGCTTAAGTCCAGGAGTTTGAGATTGCTGTGAGCTATGACATCATAGCACTCTACCCAGGGCCACAGAGTGAGACTCTGTCTCAAAATAAATAAGTAAATAAATAAAAAAAATTAAAAAGAAAGAGAGAGATTGCTGCTAAAACATGGGATCACGTACATTTACTTTTATGAGATAACAAAATAAGTAATAGCCTGATGGAGTTATTCTGGGAGCACTGCTTCATGTTCAGGAACCTTTTCTCTCTGCATCAAGTGCCACATTAGAGAATGCTTCCCTTGGGTCTGGAAGATTTTTTTCATCAAGATGAATGTCCTACTGGAAGGCAAATCCTTCTAAGAGGACACACCTTCATCACCAGCTGCATGGGGGCTTTAGTTGACAGAACGCAGGACTAAGTTCTTAAGAGGCGCAGGAAGGCCCCAGGATAGAGAATGGGCCCCAGGGAGGAAGGTGGTGACAATGAAAGCACATTGCACGGATCTCCCCAGGTCTGGCTTTGTTGTGAATCATGCCTTCAAAAGACATCAGAAAGGACACCTCACCTCTTCTGGAGCTCATAGACTATCAAAATAAGAGCAAGATAAAGAAATCTCTTTAAGGTTTCAAATGTTATTTCCCTAGATGAAGAGAATCTAAACATATGGCAAGAAGCTTAAAAATCTGTTAATGTGCAAATGTCATGATAAAAATGGAACTCATGAGTGTTAACAAACTGCCAGGCCACGTTCTCTGAAAATGGAAGGAAATCTCTTGAATTCTTCTTATTCTTTTGCTGTGGAGCTAACTAAATCTGGCACTGGGGACTACTTCTCCCAAGCTGGTAATGAAAGGTTTAAGAAAAAGTGCTACTTGTTAGGCTTAAATACACTGAAAGGGAGGTTTAAAATGAGATAATGCAGGAAATATGGTGACAGTGGACATTTAGATCTCAGTTCCATCTACTAGGCGACTTTGGACAAGTCACCTGACCTCTCTAGTTATCTCTTTCCTCAACTATCAAATGGGAATAATTCTCGGCTTAAAGGACAATTACGAAGAGTATATCAATGATATCAGCAAAAATACAGGTCATAGTAGGAGCTGAAGATAAGGCTTAAGTGATGGATGGGCCAGCCTCCATCTTCAACCTGGCCCATCTGACAGTAACTATAAAGTGAGTACAAACTCCCAGCAGTAGCCTCTAGTAAGTCACTGCAAGGATTCAGTAAGTGGCCTTCAGAAGGGAGAGCTAGAAATGCAGCCTGACTTAGCCAGCGAGTGCCCAAGTCCATTATCAAGCTGTTTGATAATAACACTAGCCTCTCATTTGGCATTGAAATAAAAGGACCACCTGCCCTTATGGACAACTTGTTTAAGCTTTTATTGTGAATGGTAACAGCTTGGGGCCTTCAATCTAATCAACAAATAGCCTAGCTATAAAAAGCATTAATTTGGAAGACTCTGTTGGAACAATTGTTCACAGAAAACAAGTTCAAATCAGAAGATGCTGCTTGAAACTCATGAAGTTAGTCAAGGTTGAAAGATACAGAAACAGTGAAGTATTTTGCACAAAGGAAATCTTGATGATCCGGTAGAACCGATGTTTGCAGAATGCAATCTCTTAAGGGTTTAATTTTTCTCCTTTGAGAGAGATGGTCATTGTTATTTTTCACTCGTCTGGGCGTTTCTTCTCCTTGAGAACCTGGAACAGAGAATCTACCAACTTAAAAAACATTAGAAAAAGTAAGGCAAAAATAGCAATACTGAAGTCCGTAAATCCCTTCCCAACAAACCTTTCAGTGTCACTCGAGAGCTTGTTAAAAAGTCAAATTCTTAGGTCAATCCCAGACCTACTGAATCAGGGGTGGAGTGCCGCGATTTGCTCTCACAAACCCGGCAGATGATTCTGAGCATGTAGAATTTGAGAGCCACAGTTGTGACTGGAGGGAGAAATTAACTTCCACTTTTTTTATTTTATTATTTTTTTTTTTTTAGCTACTGCATTTTGGGTTCTTTTTGTTATGTCAGCTTAATTTAAACTCTGGTTACTCAGGTATATTTTAACCAATGTTGGGAATTAACTGTATTATCCATAGGAATTTATTTCTTGAGTAGCAGCTGAGAAAGGGGACTCAAAGAATGTAAGATTTGAATTTTTAATTTGCTTATGTTGACAATGCCTCATGACAACAATCAAAGCTAGTTTCTGAGTTACACAATTACTCATTACAAACCTACAACTGTAAATGGCAGTCGTGTGGGCAACTTGGGAAATTTGGGGTTCTGCCAGTTCTAAATTTATTATGGTTTGCTTGTTGTCGCTGCTGCTCAAATTAACTAAGACTGAAGAAAGAATGAGTGGTTATGATTTTAAAATACTTCTCTGTTCCCACAGAATACTCTTCACTTGCTGAGGTGAGGAAACACTTTGCATCCAGCCTAGAACTTGTTACTCTTCTCAAGATTCTCTGGCTATTCAGAGTTCCCAATTTCCAGACCAGACAATTCTTTCTAATAAGGGAACTACTGGTGTTCTTGAGAAGATGATATGCTCTGTTTTGACCAAGCACTAATGAGCCCAGGAGCCAGGACCGGGGGTGCAGTTCCCACACATGCCAAATAGCTTTGATTTCCTCCAGGAGGCCAGGCTGCACCGCTGAGTGCTGCCAGCCCACCTGAAAATGCCACCACCCATCCTGCCTTATGAGCCACTGGTCATAAAAGGAGCCAGAATGAAAGGTATGGGAAGTTGCCCATTGGCTCAAAATATTGAACATGAAGGTTCTGGCTCAAGGGAATGGAAGTTAAACGAAAAGAACAAAGAGGGACATGGAGCCTGAGAAGATCAAGGGCCTGGGAGGTGAAGGGCTCCATGTTTGGGGCGGGAGGAGCTGTAGGTGAGGTGAGGGCTTCACTCTGCTCCTTCACAGAAACTGCCAGGGTAATCAAAGGGTTATTAGTTATTCTTGACTGTGTGTTGCTTCTCCTATATTTGGAGCTTTCTTTGGAGTATTTCAAATATTAACAAAATCTTCCTATTCTCTGGACTGATTTGGTGGGACCATGAGAGCAGTCCCCTTGAGTGAGGGGCTCAACTACAACTTGGACTTTGCCTTAGACGTGAAAACAATGTAACCTAAAGATTTGTACCCTCGTATTAATTTGGAATTTTAAGAAAAGGGAAGACAAACTTAGACATTCACTTCTTTTCCGTAACAGCCTCTGGAACTTATTCCCGGCCCCCTGTCTTCATGTCGTGTGGGCAACTTGGGAAGGGGAGTTAATTTGAGTTTCTGCCGATTCTAAAAAGAAAATAAAGGAAGCAAAAGAAATAAAAGGAAAAATAATAAGGCTGCAAAGAAGAGTGGACTGGATGCCAGTTACAAAGAGAACCCAAAGGCCAGCCTACACCTTCAGTGAAACCCAGAACAATGCACAGCCACGACCAGGGAGGCCCGAGAGCCAACCTGAATAGCATTTCAAATTACAGGAACCCTGGGCCAAAACTTCCATTAATTGCAGAATGGCACTAAATGATTTGTGAGAAGGGTACAGTTAAAAGAAGGATTAAAGTTCACCTTGAACTTTATTGCCCATAATTGCGATGAAAGTTCTAGAGCCTATTTACCATGATATAGTAGTCTAGATGGCACGTTGCACAAATATTTTATGAATTAAGTAAATATCTTTGTCATAAAAAACATAAGAAATGCTTAGAGTTTCTAACTACAGCTCTGGGAGTGTTGGCAACAGAACTTGATGTTTTATTACTAAAATAGGAGAGGAGAGCATATGTGGATAGTTTTTAATTTTAAGAAAATTCCTGCAGCCTCTGAAAACGCCTGCTAATTCTGGCAGTGCTCAGCTAGGTTATTAAACTCTCTGTAACACTGGGAGATACATAGTTTCTAATGGAGCTATTCTCTTGGCATCCCCTCTCTTCCAATAAGATAATTATAAGATATTTTCAATTTTCCTAACGATGGACTTTCCATGAGCTAGAATTTCTAGTGCAAGAGGAGTGATAAAATGTTTTGGTCACTGAAAGACGAAGCTAGCGGTGAAGTTTGGTTTTTTTTTTTTTCTCCCACATTACTGGAGAAGATGTCCAAAAGAATAGTACCAACGTATATAATAGCTCCTCATTCAACTTCAGGTGGAACGAAATGGGATGGGCTTTCTAAACTTAAAGATAAAAACAATGCATACAGAGAGTCGAAAAGCAAGACCTGGTTATAAAAAGATGATCTTTTTCTGCTCACATGGGATGAGAATTGTTCCTTTAAACAGATAGTCTTTTTCTTTCTTTTTTTTTTTTTTGGCCGGGGCTGGGTTTGAACCCACCACCTCCGGCCTATAGGGCCAGCGCCCTACCCTTTTAAGCCACAGGCACCGCCCCAAACAGATAGTCTTCACCACTGCCCAACCAACCCATCCTGTGATAAGTACTGCCACTCAGAGACCTTTCTGCTATGTTTTCGTAATCACCTTTGAAGCTTACAGAATATACTTCTGGATGGAGTGGGACATTTTAGAACCTCGAGGAAGAAAGCTGAATTTTTCAAAAGATTCCAAAGCTATGCAGAACCAGGTTTAGGAAATAGAGCAACTCAAACCAAACATTGCTGGTTGGTTCAAAAAATGAGTCATTATAGGTTAATAATATGACTGTGCGTGTTGGCGAGGGGAGGGAGTATTTTATGAATAAGCCCTGAGGACAAGTCCATTTCAGCATTTGTAAAAATTATTTACCAGGGTTTAGTGGTAGAGATTTTTGTTCAGATAAATGAGAAGGGCACTGCTGTTAGGTACCCACCGGAACTCCAGCAAAGCACTTGACTGAGAAAAGGCACGGCCAGCTAGGAGCTGAGAAGGCAATCACAAGTTCACAGAGTCCACAGAGGCTGCTCACGTGGCACCCATCACACAGGCGTGAACTGGAAAAGCTCAGGGCTTTGCTCAAAGTTGGTACTTACTTCTGTATTGATTGATTTAACCCAGATTTTCTTTCTCAGGAAAAGCTACCCAAGACTTTCTGTCTCTGTGCAACAGATGAACTTTCAATTTGCAGTTAGCATAGAAAATCCACGGCACACCAAAGGGCAGTGAAACAGAAAGCCCCCCTCCAGAAAAGCCAGCTGAGCCTTGGCAATATCAGCCTCTGTCAAGGGGCCATCAGTCAAAAAGAGTGGACAGAGGGAGTTTTCTGAGCTCTGGGAGTGAAAAGCAGTATGTTTATGTCAGGAACAGCGAGAGACACAAGCCTGCTATTGCGTCCTGCAGCCTCCGTACTAAAGATCAATGAGGGTATTCCCTGGAAGATGCCTTGGGTGGTACAGACCGTCCAAGGCAGACTGAGCACAGGCTCTTGCCCTGTTTTCATAAGATGAAAGGTGCTGTGACTAGTTTTAGTTTCCTCCCCTCTAAAATGAAGAGAATAATAGGCTCTTCCTTCTAAGACTGCTGTGAGCAGAAACTGGGAAAACGGAGGTAAATTGCTTAGCTTAATACTTGAATTATAGGAAATACTCATTACTGTTACTGAAATTATTTTTGCCTTTTATTACATATTTAAAGAAAACCTCATATTAGTTAGTGATAATTGTCTCATTTTCAGTTGCCTTATTTTCTTCTTATAAATTTTATTCTCTCCTTTATTTCTGTACAGTATCTTTGTATCTAAACATTGCCAGCTTGGTGTGAGTATTTTTCCCTATCCTTTGTAAAATCATATACGAGATGAATCAGTTGACCTCAGATTGGTTTATCAGGGTTTGAAATATGAAGATGAAATCTGAACTGATGCGAAGGTAATCTTGGAACAAATCTTGGAACAAATGTGAAGAAATCCTACTTTGCATATAAAGTAGCAAACCAGAATGCTCTTTTCTAAAAACATCTATGAAAAAGCTCTTCTACTAGCAGTCATCAAAAATAAACATAATATCTATAGGCCTAGAGAGATTTATTCAAATAGGCTATGGACTCACTATCAAAACCTTCTGGTAGAACATCAGCAGTTTAAAAAACATCACCAATGGCCAGGCGTGGTGGCTCATGCCTGTAATCCTAGCACTCCCTGCTGAGGCAGAGACTCCTCTGAGCTCAGGAGTTTCAGGCAAGCCTGAGCAAGAGCAAGACCCCCTCTCTCCTAAAAATAGAAAAATTATCTGGGGGCTGTGGTGGGCACCGATCATCCCTGCTACTTGGGAGGCTGAGGCAGGAGGATCACTTGAGCCCAGGAGTTCAAGGTTGCTGTGAGCTATGAGACTACTGCACACTAGTCTGGGCAACAGAGTAAGACTCTGTCTCCAAAAATAAATAAAAAATGTAAAATGACACGCTCAATGCCCATAGCACAGTGGTCACGGCACTGGCCACATGCACCAAGGCTAGCGGGTTCGAACCCAGCCTGGGCCAGCTAAACAACAATGACAACTGCAACAGAAAGAAATAGCCAGGGGTTGCGGCGGGTGCCTGTAGTCCCAGCTACTCGAGAGGCTGAGGCAAGAGAATTGCTTAAGCCTGAGAGTCTGAGGTTGCTGTGAACTGTGACACCATGGCACTCTACCAGGGACGACATAGTGAGACTCTTTCTGAAAAAAAAAAATTTAAATGCCACCAATGCACAATTTGGAATAGATATGGTTGCTAATAAAACTCCTAAATTGGAGTTTGAAATCAATACCTTTTCCATGTGCTAACGAGAAAAATAAACTATGATGTCAAAGAGAAAGATAGCACGGAAACTGTCTACAGATTTGCTTCGTATGTATTAGTGTTGGCCTAATGTAGTGGTTGTGAAGGCTTAAAGCATTTTCTTCTTCCCTGATTCAACTTCTCCTTCCAATCTCTCCATATACCTCCCTCCCCACTTCTCCAGGATGTTTGTTTACCTTTGCATTTTGAATCTACATCTTTGAAGCTGCTGAATCCCAAGTAGGCTGGTGGTTGCCCAGGGGCTCTGCTTGAGGCTGGAGGCTTCTGTTCCCCTTTGCTTCTAGGAGATCCAGCAAATTCCTTGCAGCATCTTCCCACTGAATGTACTCTGTCAGTGGCTGTTTTAGGCTCCCCTCTTCAGAAATAGGTGGGGATTCTCCTGTGCTCTTTTTTCCCATTAAGTGCCCTGTAAAAAAACCAAGAAAAAAAAAAAGAAATCCAGAATGCCACAAATTTAACCAAAGGAAATAAATAAAAGAGAAATGTTAAAGGATACAATTATGTGTGTGCTTCTTCCTCCTAAGTACAGAACAAATAGCATTTTATTATTAGGAGTTAGTTCATAAATGATGGACAGATTTTGCTCTCTGTTCAAAATGTGCACTGAGATGGACAGAATTGAGAATTGCAACCCAAGAGCCCTGGGTTTGATTCCAGCACTCCTACTAACTAGTTAGGTGACCTCTGCCAAGTCATTTTAACGTGGCCAGTCTTCAATTTTCTCCAGTATAAAATGAACAGGGTAGACAAGATTAATCTAAGGAAGCTTCCATATCTAAAATTTTATCATCAATTCTGTGTGTACACTGAATTCTATTCCCAACTGAAAGATGGAGTTTAAAAGTCTTCCCCAGTCAATTTTGAACTGCTGCTGAAAATAAAAGTCTGGCTGCTGCTTGTCTTTGTGTGGATTCTAAAAAATATATATTACTTTCCTCTTACCTATAATACAAAAATACCAAAGGAATTTTTCACACGAACTTTTACGGAATTTTGGTTAAATTCGAATCTAGGAAATTTTTACCTAAAAATTATAGTTTATTAAGTATGTCATAAAAAACAAGTTGAAAAGGAGTTCTGAGTGACACCTCCAAGCCACAGACATGCAGGATTTTCTCTTGAGTATCTGAAATGGTCAGTAAAAGCCTATCAGTGGCTCCAGAAATGTGTGTTTGCCATGTAAGAAAATAAAAACATGTTCATGCATGCAAGAGAGGATAATACAGACTCTGAAATGGGTAGAGAATTCAAGGTCTCCATACTTAACACTTTGCTTAAATATACTCATGTCATCTGCCTTCTTCAGTTGGCTTTCCCCATCTCCCTAGAATTAGGCTTTATAGCATTTAGGAATTTCCAATATCAATGAACCATGGTGCTTCTGACTTAAAGCACACAAGGAAATAGATCCTTGTGGTTCCAATGTTGACTGGCACTAGAAGTATTTGTGGAAAATGCCCAGGGAATAATATTTGAAAGATCTTCAGTCTCCTCATATTGAAAGAGGCCCTTTCCCAGCATCTTATCCACCAATAGCAAAGCCCTCACTCTAATTTCATTAGTTTCATGTGTATTGCAATGTACCGGATGTTTTAAATGCAGTATTTCATTTAATCCATAATATAGCTTGGTGTAGAACAGACTTGCCAGAAGTCTTACAGGTGTAAGCAAAGGTTCTAGGATTAAAATCAGCTCCACAGTCCAGACTTTATCATAATGCCTCATGGGGTCCTTTAACTTCCTAAGAATAGAAGACAGATAAAAAACATCCTGGGATCTGGAAATAAGGATAAGGTCTACAAAAGGGTTGCTACTATTATTGAAAGGATTGGGGAGTCTGGACTGGTATAGCATGATGCATTATATAACTCAGAAAAACTAACTCAGTGGCTATTGGGGAGCCTTAAAATGAATGTATTGCAGTCTGAGTACTTGCCAAGTCACCTGTGACACTATACCTCACACAATTTCAAAATCCTGTTAGAAATACTGTCTCAAGTGAAGGATTAGAATCCGGAACAACTGGGTCCTCATTTATCTGCTTTGTCAACCTGGCACCCAGACATCCCCTAAATAACCTTGCATTCAGCCATGACAGTGATTATGTTGTACAACTTCCTGGAAAGTGGTGCTGTATTTGGCTTTATTTATATGAAGGAAATTGAGTCATGGTGACGGGAAGGCAGGATTAGAACCCCACTGCTCCCAGTAATGACCTGGGTCTCTCTTGCCTTCTTAATTGCCTGTCATCTAGTTAAGAGGCTAGAAATGAGAAGTTATTACCAATGAAGTAGAGGGATCATGGAGATATTTTTGCAAGTAAGAACTTCGTTTTTGTCATGGCTGAAAAATTGAGTGGACTTTTCTAACATGGGAAGAGGAAGTCATCCTCCATTCCATGATTTCTCTGAATTTCCATACTTTCATATATGGTAAATATGTTCACCTCCCCGCTGCTAGATCCACAGACTGGTTATTAAGGAAAGCACACCATCTAAAGCACCCCAGGGAAGCACACATTCCCTTCCCTGGGTCCTATTTTACTTTTGAGCTGGCTGCTGTCAACCATATCATCATCTCCATGGCAACAGGGATGATCTGCCCACTTCTACCTCTTCCCCCATCATTACTGGTCATGAGTCCATATCATAATAATGGAGATCTTAGCATAGACAAAAGACAAAAGCAAAAACCTTGCTCAGAGGGAGAAAAAACCCTTTGTACTTTTTAATCACGTAAAAATACCACTAAAGGGCAGTTTTGAAACATAAGTGAATAAGTCATAAGTTAAAGCGCTGAGAGCTTCTAAGAACCAGTGTTTCTGGAGCCACGGTTAAACTCTTTCATGGTTTATGGGACAGCACTACAATGACAGGCCATTCTGCAGCCGAACACTGCTGCTTCTGAATTTAACCTTCTGGGACACACCTTACATCAAAGTTAGATCCACAATTAGGAGCATTTCATGGGAGAACAGGGACTAGTTACCAGCGTTAGTGCTGACACATATTTTCATCATACAAACAAGACATTTCCATTAATGTGAAGCCAGGCAAGAATTTGTTAAGTTTTCAAGCTGTTAACCTGTTTTCCATTGCTGCACCCTGCTTCTCTCAGCTGGAAGGAGCAATTCACTTAACAAGCTTGTAAATGTGTGCTGACAGTTTCCTTGTGGACAGCAATCTGTAGCTTTCCATTTTCTATACTTAAAACGAAACTGGATGGTTTGGGTGACTGGGGGAGGATAGACATTTTCTTGGGATAACTGAAAACTAAATTTAAATTTCAACACTATCATTCATCCTTGACATGCTCATGTTCCATCAGAACGCATGTCTACCCAAAGCAAACTTTTCCTCCACCACAATGTAATTTTAGCCTGAAATGTGATTTCCTACTTCACTTTCTTTCCTGTGTTCTTCCTATACTCTGCACAGCCATCAGAGAGAGAAATAAGTTAAAATTTAAAAAAAAGAAGAATTTGAGAATAATTAAGAAAGTAGTACTTGAGGTTGCCACTGCTTGGTATAACTTTGGGTTAGGAATGCCCAAGTACCACTTTACAGGATGATTCAATGCCAGGCACCCTAAATACAGGGGGCAGATGTGCTTCAGAATTACAGCAAAGTGGAGTAAGCTTAGCTTCCACTGGCAGTGATTTTGGCTCCCCACTCACTCCACAGTCCTCCTTTTAGCTCGCAAGGATTACTTAATAATAAGCTTTTTAAATACAAAATATGCACTAGCAAAAAACGTCTGGAAATCTGGATGTTTCATTCCATCTTTCCAGGCTGGTGGCTGGACCAGACAAAGGCCCCTTGACCTATAAGTTCCTAGAAACCCCTTTTTTAAGATGTATCAATTCTAAGTCTAGAATCTTCAACTCCTTCTAAGTATCCTTCATTCATGAAATGCAGGGGTTCTCAGCTTCAGCCACCCAACCTCTCCTCTCCACACCAGACTCCCGGTTCCCGGTGTGCTTCAGCTGTCACAAAGCCTCTCATCCCTGAGACTGTCAAGACTTGGCTAATGATTCTTTGGGCAACAACAGAAACTACTCCCTTATACCCTCTGCGCTCTTGACTTCTCTGACAAAAGCACACACAACCGGGAGAGCCAAGGACAAGAGACAATTCCGGCCTCACGCCTTCCCCCAAATTCTCTGAGATCTGTCTATCGGTTTATATCTGAATTAGCAAATAACCTTTCCAATCCACTGATCCCAGCTCTTAAGTAGAAGACTAAGGCAATATATACACTCAAACATTGAAATCTCTTCAAGGACCGACTTGGGTTGTCCTAGTTGTCTATATGGGACGGGGGGGAGGTAGTTGTCAGGAAGTCAGACGCTCTGTATTAGCCAGACGCTATGCCTGGAGAGGCCGAGAGCCTAGTATCAGGCTGGGCTAGCCCAAGGGGGCCGGCCACTACCCGGCCCCCAGCCCCGCGGAGGCTGGAGCGGCGCTGGGCGGACGTCTGACCCTCGGGCGCCCCCTGCAACCGCCACACAGCGGGAGGGTATTCTCCGCTGGGGGCTCCGGGTGTTGGAAGGAGGGACGGCCAGAGTGAGAGAACTTCGGAGTTGGTGCTGCAAAGCAGAACAAGTTGGCAAAGGGGATGAGAAAGGAGGTGGGGAAAGGGAGAAGTCGTGGGTCTAGAGAGGGGATGAAAGAGCCGGGCTCACCGGGGCAGGGCGGCGGCGACCAGCTGGGAGAGCCCGCATGATCCCCCGCGCCGAACCTGCTATCGGGAAAGGGGGAGGGTTGGGCAAAAGGCAGGCAAGAGAATATCACCGCAAAGGGAAAAGAAGGATGGAGAAAACTCCGGAGAGCCACAAACAGAGGCGGAATTCAGGCACTGCTCGCTGAACAGACGTGAAACCAAGAGCGGGCCCTGCGCCCCAGATGCCCACACCTGTGGCTTTTCTAGGCGCAAAGGCGCAACCTAGATTCCAGCCCACGCCGGTGGGAGAAGAGGCCACCGAGCTAGACCAGGGCTCTGAGGCGCACTCAGGGGTCCCCCTCCCGAAGTTGTTGAAGGAAAGTACGGTGCCAGACAGGGTGAGATTAGGCGGACAAAAGGAGCTGGGTAGATGATCTGCGCCTGGGGTGGGTTTTTGAAGAACAGCGCGCTGGCGGGGAAAGGATCAAGGGACCAGCCTGAGGCCAGTAAGGGACCGATGGGCTCCCAGGATGGGGGATGTTAAAGTGAAGTTTTAGGAGAACGGGGAAGGTATTTCGGTAGAAGGATCGGAACACACTGAGCCCCCAAAGCCCGGCCCGGAAATGCTGAGATGGGAGACAGGTCCCCTCCAGCGGACACATCTCTCCAAGGACACTCACCCACCGCCCAGTGGTTGCCGCGAGGGTACATCTTGGTCAGCATAGTCCCTCCTCCCACCGGCACCGGGACCGCTGGTCCCCGGGGCGCCTGGCAGAGGACCAAAGCCAGCAGGACGAGCGGGAGCTCACGGCCACGCATGGTCCCGGCGGGAAGCCCTGTGAGCGCTGGTGTGAGACTGGGCGAGGCCGGGGAAAGAGTGCGCTCTTCCCACGGAGGAGCAAAGGGAGGACCAGGACCTCCAAGGAGCTCCGCCGCAGCAGCCGCCGGTGCCACTGCTGCAGCCCCCACTTTATATGCAAGCCCGGGCGGGGGCGGGGGGGCTCTTCCACCGTGGACCAGAGCTCTCTGACGTCTCCCTATAGCGAGCCGGGGCGCTGGGACGCCGGACCTGGAAAATTATCTGTCTCCCCGCCGAGTGATGAAAAGGCTGAATGTACAGTGACCCTCTTCCCCCCCTCATAGTCCCGTCGCCCTTCCTATATCGGATTAATTCCTCCCGTCCTCGACGCCTTCGCTCCAGTAGTGAAGTCCTCCCTCTCCAGCCTCCCCTGGGGCCTCCAGCGTCAGCCGCTTTGGATTCCGCCAGGGGGAGCGGCAACCCAACCACCTGAACTCGGGGGTTGGAGAGGGGTGAGCTGGAAGGAGGGATGCTTTGGGGCTGGGCTCTTCTGGAGGGGGTTGCAACAGTGACTGCAAGGGGCTTCTGGTTCTCCAGACCTTTCCCCTCCATGGACCAGCCGGGTGTCCTCCGGACCTGGCCTCCTTCTTGCATCTCTCCCTCTCTTTCTCTCTCTCAGCAACAGTATGCTCACCTCCACGTCGTTTTCTGCATCCCTGTCCCCTGCCCACTTGCATAGCAAGATGGGGGATGAAGCAAAAGCCACATGGATACAGCTTCATAATCATACAGTTTCACCTTTCGTGTCATCGAGGAAGAAACTGCTGATCTCCCTAAGCTGCACCTACTAGAAAGCTCAAACTATCCCCAAACTGCTACACACACACACACACACACACACACACCTCTGTCTAAAGCTGCTCAATTTTCCTCTGCTCTTTCTGGCCTCGGATTTGAAGAATGGTCACCAGCCCAATCCCCGAAGTTCTAGGTGCCATGGATACAAAGGGGTGAGCGCCATAGCGGTGCAACAATAAATAGAAGCTAGTAGGATGCTGCTGCCCACGGTTTGGCTGCCAGATCTGGTCGTGTGGTTGAGTTTGGAACAGGTGAGGTCAATTCCTCACCAAGCCAGTGTGACGCTCCTCCTTGGTGGGACCTTAGTGTGCCATGGTGTTGATACTGATGAAGTTGAAAACATACATTTCTGGTGATTCAGTGCGTTTGTGACATTCTTAGGCGATTACACACACGCATTGCATAACTGAGTATTCTTGGGCTTGAAGAGTATTTTCATGCAAGTGCCTGGCTCTAAAGAAAAAAATGCTAATTTTAAGATCATTAATAGTAGCCAAAGAAGTACAGGAATACTAGCCCCGAGGGAGTAATCCAAGTGAAAATCAAAATGAAAAGTCTACAATGGGCCAGGACCCCATCCCTCCTGGATTCTCAGCCTAGGTAACTGATGGTCCCTCGGTTTGCCAACTCCTGCTCAGTGAGCTTCAGTAAACACAGGGGCTTGGTCTCATCCCTCTGCAGGACACCTGGGTCATAGTGGTCCTTGGTACATATTTGTTGAATGAGCAACTAACCTAAGAAGTGCTTAGTTTCAAATGCCTTCTACAAGCCCACAATTTTTTTTCTTTATTTCAAATTAATTGAGGGTACACATTTTTAGATTACATAGTTCTCACTTCCAGGGTAAAGTTCCAATTGTAAAAGAGCCCATTACCCAGAGGGCATGTCATATACCCTCACAAAGTGCACTATAGGTGAGATCCCACCACACGCCCTCCCTCCTTCTGCCAATCATCCTCCCCCACCCACCTTCCTTTTCCCTCCTCCTCTGCCCTTGTACTGGACTATATTTGTGTTTTATTGTTCATCTGATCATGTAATTGTTTATATATTAGCTTCATATTAGTATTGAGTATATTGGATATCTATTTTTCCATTCTTGCAATGCTTTACTAAGATGAATGTGTTTCAGCTCCATCCAAGTAAATGAAAAAGATTCAGCCATCTTTTTCATGGCTGAATAGTAGTCCATGGTATACAGATACCACAGTTTGTTGATCTATTCATGGGTTGTAGGCATTTGGGTTGCTTCCATGACTTGGCAATTATGATTTGAACTGCAATCAACATTCTGGTGCAAATGTCTTTGTGGTAAAACATTAAACCCCTCTCTCTCCAGATCAAGTTGTAGAGGAACATTCTTTCCCCTTACTTTAATCAAGACTCTTTTAGAATCATTTAAATAAAATCCTCCACCCCCATGAAACAAAGGGAAAAACACTGTAAAGACACTCAAGTATAGGGACAATTCTACAGAAAGCACAGCTCTTCTGCTAATTTAGGCAACCCACAGTTTCTTATACCCTTTACAGGTCAGGAGAACTCAGGCCCCTCTATTCATGCTAGCTCTTGCCCCAGCCCACAGGTTGTCTGCCTCTAGACTGAGTCTGGGCCATGTGACTTGCTCTGGCATCCTATAAGGTCAGCACCTGTGTCCGTCTTGTTGGGGCGTGGGTCATGTCTACAGTGTCTGGCACAGTCTTAGGCAGGGGTCCTCAAACTTTTTAACAGGGGGCCAGTTCACTGTCCCTCAGACCATTGGAGGGCCAGACTGAGGGCCCCAGGATGAATCAGCTGCTAAGCAGGACAGGCAGCGGCAGCAAAAACACCCGATGGGCTGGATAAATGTCCTAGGGCCGTAGTTTGAGGACACCTGACCTCAGGCATAGAGAAGAGACTTAACAGATGTGAAGGAATTCACTGTCCTCCAGGTGAGTCCAGTCCCCTAACTAGAGACTAGGCTGAGTTTAGTCCTCTAACTAGAAAAGGTAGTGGATTATTACCAGTTAGAGAATGGAATTATTGCATGTTTGATTCAACTGATATGAATTAGCTCCAACAGATCCTGACTGGAGAGGGGGGTCCTCTCATGTGCCTTTTAAAATCCTCCCCAGGTAGAGATGATTAACCTCACTGACTTAGTTTTTTGTTTGTTTGGTTGGTTGGTTTTGAGACAGTCTTAAGCTGTTGCCCTTGGTAGAGAGCCATGGCATCATAGGTCACAGCATCCTCCAACTTGGGCTCAAGTGATCCTTTTGCCTCAATTTTTCTATTTTTCATAGAGACGGTGTCTCGCTTTTTTTCAGGCTGGTTTTTAACTCAGGAGCTCAAGCAACCCACCCGCCTCGGCCTCCCAGATTGCTAGGATTACAGGTGTGAGCCACCACACCCGGCCCCCACTGACTTACTTAAGAGAAAGCAAAACTGCTAAATTGAGAGTTCACAATGAAATTACCCATTCAAAAATTTGTTTCTCTCCATCTCTCTCTCCCTCTCTCTTTCTCTCTCTCTCTCCCAGGACAGGTGTTCCAGATTGGCAGGCAGCTCTGTTCCACAGAGCTGTTTAGGAACCTGGGTTCATAGGTTCATAGCATCTCCTGTGAGATGTTTAGGAACCTGGGTTCATAGGTCCATAGTATCTCCTGTCTCTACCATTCCAAGCACAGCCCCACTCAAAGGGCTGACCTGCAAGGAGATAAGAAGCTTGTGTCAGAATGTAAATCAATGCACTGCTGCCTTCATCAGGAACATCTTGCTAAAGAAAAAATGTCAGCTGAATGAAACGATGTGTTCAGTGATATTGATCTCCCTTCTGGCACACAGTGTTTGTCTCATTGTGGACACCTAAGAAATAGTTTGGGAATGAGCAGCTGATATCTATAGACCACCCATGATTAGTACTCTCTTAGAGCACTGTTCTTTCCAGCTGCATGGCTTGGGTTGCAGCTAGAGGGAAGCCAAAGTGGAGAGGCAGGCCAACGCTCTTAGCTACCAGCCCAAATGTAGCACTTATCTCTTCTGCTCACATTTCATTAGCAGAGTCAGCCACGTGGTCACAGATGACTGCAAGGGAGGTTGGAGGTTACAATCTTGTATCAGGTATGCCTGATTGCATCTCTGTGAAAACAGGAGCCAAAGGAATTTGGTGGGCAGCTGAGAAACTCTCCAAGATCCAGCCTGGCGTGCTTCAGGCACAATTAAAAAACTAGATTCTGTAAGGTTGGTCAGCAGGAGAATCTCCTCATAAGGAGGAGCAACTGGGATTCCCAACTCCTCTGCCTCAAAGTTCTGTGTCTCTCAGGGCAGTGGTCCCCAACTTTTCTGGCACCAGGGACTGGTTTCATGGAAGATAATTTTTTCATGATGAGAGAGGAGGATGATTTTTGGTATGAGTCTGCAAGCAATTGATTTATTATGGTCTCTGTGCAATCAGACATCTCTACTAATGATAATCTGTATTTGCAGCTGCTCCCCGGCACGAGCATCGCCCCGTCAGCTCCTCCTCAGATCATCAGGCATGAGATTCTCATTAGGAGCATGCAACCTACATCCCTCACATGCACAGTTTACAGTAGGGTTCTCGCTCCTACGAGAATCTAATGTCACCGCTGATCTGACAGGAGGCGGAACTCAGGAGGTGATGTGAGCAATGGGGAAGGACTGTACATACACATGACACTTTGCTCACTGCCTGTTGCTCTTCTCCTGATGTGCAGCCCAGGTCCTAGCTGGGTCAGTATTGGTCCACAGCCTGGGGATTGGTGAACAAAGTCTTAGAGGATCTCTTGTTACCACCATGACCAGCACCCGCTGGGCTCAGTAGGGTACTGTATCTTCTTATCACTGGCCCAAACCAGGATACCCCTTTTTTGATTTCCCCATTCAAGAGCTTTTAATCTTATCTTCCTAAAAGAACCTGATCATTTAGCTACTTCCACAAAAGTGCTGTGTGACAATCTACCACAACATTTCAGTGGTACACAACGATCAGATTTCTATCACGTGTTCTCCAGTGGCTCTGCTGGTTCCCTGTGGGTTCTGCCGTTCTAGGCTCCAGGCTTAGGTCACTGCACACATCTGTTACCTGCTAAAACAGTGGACAGGCCA